TCAATCAATTTCCTTCTCAGGCCATATTGTCCAATTTACTTTGTACCTTTACTTTTAAAAAATCTGCTTTACTATAAACTAGTGAACTCATTACCTATACCTAGGCTTTCCCACTCTAAAATGACACTTTATGCTAATATTCCTGTACCCACCTCACCAACCAGCTTCTCCTTATCAATCAAAATTAACTACACTCTTTAACCCAGAGAATCTACTGCCAAGTATATGCTCCCAAGGCAGATAGATATTGACAAAATATTTACAGCAGCGCTTTTTTGTAATTAACAAAGAAAAGGAAACAAAGCAGATGATCAACTGGGAAATGATTAAACAAATTATGGTACAGGAATGTAATAGAACATTGCTGTACAGTAAGGAAAGACAAACATGATGAATACAAAGAAGTATGGAAAAATTTACATGAACAGATGCAAAGTAAGCAGAGCCAGGAAAACAATATTCAGGATAACATCAACATAAATGGAAAGAACAACTACTACAAAATGATTGAAGCTGAAATTGGGAAATTATAAAAAACTAAGCTTGGCCCAAAAGAAGAGACATAAGAAGACACCTCTCTCAACTCTTCTACAGTTACAGAATATTGCATGTAACAGATATTTTTCAATGTATTGATCAGTTCTGTTGATTTTTTAATCTTTTTCTTTTTTTAATTCTTTGTTCTAAGGAATGGATATAGAAGGGGCAAGGAGAAAGATATGAGAGAAATCTAGGCATTGTAAAAAAAAACCCAAGATATAAATAAAATTTGTTTTTAAAAATTAGTTCTTAGCACTCTAGTGTCTCTCATCACTTATTCTACCTTTTGAGGAATGAAACTATTAGTCAAGCAAGTCAAAAAATTCATTAGATAGAAAGCAGAGTCAAGATGGTTGAATAGCAGGAAGTACAGTGAGCTCTCCTCTCAAAAGTCCAAATAGATCTAGAAAATGCATTGGATCTAATCCTAATCAGAAATTTTAAGGGGGAAAAAATCATGGTAAGTCATTTGTCAAGCCCAGTTAAGCATAAGGATACAGAGAGGCCTGTAGACATAGGATGGAGTCTGGCCAGGAGATGCTAAAAGGAAAGATGAGATCTCAGACCCATACCAGATCCAGACATCCTGCAGGGTATGGGAAAAGGTGCCAAACAGTAATGCTGTCACTTTTTACCCAGTTCTGGGTCACAAGGTCAGAACAGATTGAGAAAGTAACCTGAGTACAAAAGTGAGGAGAGGCTACATACCCTACAGGCCATATGTGGCCCTCTGGGTCCTCAAGTGAGGCCCTTTCACTGAATCCAAACTTCACAGAACAAATCCCCTTAAAAAAGGGTTTGTTCTCTAAAACTTGGACTCAGGCAAAGGCCACACCCAAAGACCTAGAAAGCCACTTGTGGACTTTAGGCTGTAGGTTCCCCACCCTGCCCTAGTCTGTGTACCTGTACCAAGCAAAGACGAAGTACAGAAGCAAGCAGCAATTTTGTGGCTCAGACCTCCGGAGAAGAGCGGAGTCTCAGCTCCAGCTTCTAGCCCAACCAGAAATCTGTAAAAGGATAATTAGGACAGGAATTCCAAACCAAAGAGGATCTGGAATCTTTATCCCAGCCCACAGTTCTGTCACTCTGAACTAGTAGAGATTTCTTTCCAGCTGCTAATAGTGGCTTAGTCTAGCAACACTCCACTGTTACCCAAACCCAGGTCAGGAAATTGCAAAGTTCAGACCAGGATATCAATGATCAGATTTTGCTCTGGACATGACACTTTGGAAGTACACAAAGTTTGCAGGTCCCTAATGTGCATTACATTATCCCTGAGAACCTGGAATAAACACAACACTCACCACCCCCAAGAAAGCAGCAATAGGATTGACCCAGCCCTTTCCTCTACAAGTGCACATAGCCTGGCCCTAATATCAGTTCTAAAGTCAGAAAGGAGGTTGGAAGAATGAGCAAAAAAAAGAATACCACCATAAAAAACCATTATGGGTACAGGAAAGCTCGAGACACAAAGCAGGGAGAAACATCCAAAAAGGGGAAAAGAGAAAGGGAATCAGCATTTAAATTATACCTCCTTGCAAAGAATTGGAAGTTGAAGGGATGCCCATCAAATGGGGAATGGCTGAACAAGATGTGGTATATGAATGTAATGGAATACTATTGTGCTGTAAGAAATGATGAGCAGGTGGACTTCAGAAAAACCTGGAAAGATTTGTATGGACTGATGCTGAGTGAAGTGAGCAGAACCAGGAGAACATTGTGTACAGTAACAGCAACACTGCGCAGTGATTAACTTTGATAGACTTAGCTCTTCTCAGCAATACAAGGATCTTAGACAATTCCAAAAAAATCATGATGGAAAATGCTATCCACATCCAGAGAAAGAACAAAGGAGTCTGAATGCAGATCAAAGCGTACTATTTGCACTTTTATGGATAGACTGCCAGGCCTGGAGTAGGACCTGAATTCAAATCCAACTTCAAATGCTTACTAGCTGTGTGACTCTGAGCAAGTCACGTAACCCTGTTTACCTCAGTTTCCTCATCTGTAAAATAAACTGGAGAAGGAAATGGTAAACCACTCTAGTACCTTTGCCAAGAAAACTCTAAATGGGGTTACAAAGAGTGAGACACAACTGAAACAACTGAACAACAAGAAGATATATTTCAACTTTAAAAAAAAAACTACCCAGATGTCTTAGAACCAGAGGGTAAAGTGGAAATAAATCTACCAGTCACCTCCTGAAAGAAATTCCAAAATCAAAACTCCCAGAAACAGGATAGCCAAAACCTAGAGCTTTCAGGTCCCACAATAAGAATCACACCAAATACAGGAGCCACTGCTATAAAGGGGTGCACAAAAAGACATCTATACAAACAAGGAAGGGATAAAGGAAGCAGCTGAAATTTCAACCTAACTCTCATCTGAACTGATTAAAGGAGGACTACACACACAGAATGGGGTACAGAAATATATTTCATTCAAACAGGGAAATATGACCAAAAATGGGAAAGGGAAAAGGGGAATTAGGGGGAGAGTATATTAAAGGAGGGAGCAGTCCTAAGCAAAACAAAATCTAAGGATATACAAAAATATTTACAGATTTTTTTTTTGAGATGGCAAAGAACTGGAATCTGAAGGGGTGCCAATCAAACAGGGAATTGGCTAAACAACTTATGGTATACAAATGTGACAGAAACCTAGGGAGACTTAGATGAATTAATGCAGAGTGAAATGAACAGAACAATGAGAATAATTTATATAGTGACTACAATATTATGACATACTTTGAAAGACTTAGGAGTTCTGAAAAACATAATGACTAGCCAAGATTTCAGATGACTACTGATGAAATATGTTACCCATCTTCTGATAAGAGATGACTTAGAGTACAGAATGAGATATGTATGTGCATATATATTACATACATTTATATTTTTTTATTTAAATGTGGTCAATGAGGAAATTTGTTTTGCTTGACTATATACATTTGTAACAAGGGTTTTGTTTGGCTTTCATTCTCAATTGGGAGGAGGGGTAAGAATAGGTTATTTCTGATTGAAAAAATAAAATTTAATTTTAAAAAAATTAGTTATTTTGCATTTAGTGGAAAGTTAGGAATGGCAGATTTCCTGATAGCTGAGTTCTCCCAATAACTACTCTATCTAGTTTCAGTGTTATTTTCCATCTAGGAAAATGAAAACTCTGAGAGCAAGGACTGTCTTCTTAAAATTTGCAGTCTTAGTACTTAATATAGTGTCTGGCACATAATAAACACTTAATTTTTCACTCATTCATACATTCGTTCATATAAGTACATATGCCATAAGGATTTGCCTGAGATATGAAAGTTAAATGACATAGCAAGGGTCAGAGGTTGAACATGAACCCATGCTTTCCTGATTCCAAGTCTAACTTCTTATCAGTCAATACATATTTATTGGTGCATAATAAATACTTTTAATTTAATTGAATTTTGAGATATGTATCAGGAACTCCAGGCCAGTTGGTCTGTAGTATATATTCCCATAACAACACTTCTATTTCTCTTCTTTTATCCTTAAAAATGTTATCGTTCTTCCTGGATTTCCACAGAAGTGCATGTTCCGTTCTTGACACATACATCTCCACTGGCTCCCTCCCAATTTTAGGATCAAAGGATCCAGAGTTAAATGAAATCCTAGAGATCATCTACTCCAACAATTTGCTTTTACATGAAGAAATTGAAGCTCCATAGCCACGCCCAGAATCTCCTCAAGAGTCCACTGCACAGTGATTCTTTGCAGTACAGCTTAATTGAATGAATGGAAGAAAGAGCGGAGGGTGGTACTGGGGTATTATTTCAAATCAGCCCACTCTTCCAGAGCCCCGGTACTCAATAACCCCATCCACGAACCTCCCCAGAAAGCTGAGGGCTACGCATCATCCTCCACTCCTGCCCAGGGGTCCCTGGCTGGGGGAGGAGACTCACCAAGACCCAAGCACTGGAGGTGGGGCACTTCCACAAGGCACGCCCCCTCCCCCGACGGCCACGCCCTCTTCCTTGACTGGGAAAGCAGGGGACAGGAATAGGTGGAACACCCCCCCCCCCAGGCTCAGGGCCACAGTCACCACGGGTAGCCTTTCTGGGCTAGGCTCCCAGTGGGATGGGAGGAGGGTCTGGCCTAAAAACATGCCCCAGGTTTTAGGGGCCACACCCTCTATATTCAATGGCCCTGCGGCCCCTTCCCCATCCTCCATCCCGGGAGATAGAGGCGCAGGTTCCCTCCCCGCCCCCCCCCCGGCCTTCGATGGGCCCACCCAAGCTCGGGCCACCACCACCACCACCACCACCACCCGCTCCGCAGGGGAGGGGGCAGCAGAGCCCCCGGGACCGGAACGCTCCTCTCTTCTCTGCCTTCCCCAGCCCCAGCCTCACAGCGCCTGCTGAGGAGGGGCCAGAGCGGGGGCGGGGCCGGGTCCCGGGCGTCCGGAGGCGGAGCTGTCCTGCACAGACTCACCTCGTTTCCAGGCGTTGAGTGGGGACACCACCTCCACCCTCTCGGAGATGAAGTCGGCTAGGCTGGAGCGAAAAAGCAGAGCCCGCACAGTGACGGCAGCCACCAGCACCAGGGCCAGAGGAGCCGCCATGTTAGCGGGGGCGGGAGAACAGGCAGGCGCGCGGAGCAGGGCGGGGTCGACGCTAGGTGGTGCGGGGTTCCGCATAGAGCATGCGCCCTACGCTGTAGTTCTTCCCGCCAAGGTGGGCACCACGACGGATAAGGGGGTACCTTAGGCAAGAAACTACGACTCCCAGAATTCCTTGGCCGTGGCAGGGCCTGAACGACGGACAGCGAGGAGGGATCATTCATTCTCGTGGCGCAACTCTTTTGTCCCAGTTCGTAGGCCTTGTGGGCTGAGACGGAGATTCTCTGCTCCACTGCTCGTTAGAGACCTGGAGAGGGCGCTTGTTGCGCGTCTCTTCCAAACCCTTTGTACTTGTATCTGCAACCACGTGGTGCTGTCGAAAGGCACGTCTCCGGGGTCTAAGGCAAGGGCACGGGGCTGGGAAACGTGGAGCATAAAAGCTCGGCGGAGATTTAGGAATCATCTTTTTGAACCTGTAGATTGAGGCCTTTGAAGAGCGGCAGACCTCAGGGTTATCCAGTTAAATCATGAACAGAGCCGGAATTCAGGTTTCCTGATCCCAGGCCCAGGGACATTTCTGTCCCAGCCCAGATTCTGAGGGTCATCTCCCCATGAAAGCCTCCCAGATAGCCCCTTCACCCTAATGAGCCTGAGCTATGTATTCTACATGTATACATACTTTAACCAATTAATCAATCCACAAGCATCTGTTAAAGCCTCACTATGTACATGTTGCCTCCCGGTTAAAATGTAAGCTCATTCATCACCAGAAGGGACTGTTTGTTTCTTTGTACTTGTACCTGCAACACTGCATGGTGCAAAGCACTGACATGTTGATTAGTTGTGTAAAGTCATCGTAGCATAGTGGATAAAGAGCTGGCCTTGGAGCCAGTAAGACCTGAACTTGTGTCCCGGCTCTGATGCATACAGGCTGTGATCCTGGACGAGTCATCTAATGTCTGGATGCTCTAGTCTAGGTAACTATCTAATAGGATATATTCCAGAGAAGGTGTTAATGTAATGACCTAGCATTAGTTAGAAAGCCTTTAGAAATAGTGACAGGTTCAGTCAGCCATCCCTACTCTGTGCCAGGGCTGTGCTAAGCACTGCAAACACAAAGAAAAAGCAAAAATAGTCTATACTCCCAAGTTAAAAAGCATTTCTTAAACACCAGGTTCCAAACAGTGTACTAACCCTTACGGATACAAAGCTAAGAGTCCCTACCCTCTAGAAGCACACAATCTAATAGTGAGACAATATGCAAACAATTATGCACAAAAAAATATATTCAGGATAAAGTAGAGGTGATTTCAGAGAAAAGGCACTCAAACTATTCTTGCAGAAAGTCGGATTTTAGCTGAGATTTGAAGAAAACCAGGGAATTCAAGAGTCAAAAGAGGAGGGAGAGCATTCCAAACATGAGAGGCTAACAATGAAAATGCACAGATCAGGAGACAGAATGTCTTCTGGGAGGAGTATCAAGGAAGCCAGTGTCACTGGTTTATAAAGTGAAAAGAGGGGCAGCTAGATGGCCCAGTGGATAGAGCACCTGCCCTGGATTCAGGAGGACCTGAGTTCAAATCCCACCTCAGACACATAACACTTACTAGCTGTGTGACCGTGGGCAAGTCACTTAACCCTCATTGCCCAACCCCCCCCCAAAAAAAAAGTAAGTGAAAAGGAATAAAGTGTAAGAAGGTTAGAAAAGTTGGGAGGGGTCAAGTTATGAAGGGCTTTGAAAAGCAAACAGAGGATTTTATATCTGATCCTGGGGGAAATATGGAGCCAGTGGAGTTTACTGAAAAAGAGAGTGACGTGGTCAAATCTACACCTTAGGAAGACCACTTTGACGCATGATGGCAGATGGACTGGAGTAAAGAGAGACTTAAAGCAGGGAAACCTACCAAAAGACGATTGCAAAAATCCAAGCATGAGGTGATAAGGGCCTGCACCAGAGTGGTGGTGGTGTCAGAGGAAAGAATGAGGAGTATACTAGAGATATTTCAAAGGTGAATTGATAGGACTTGGTAACAGATTGGCTAGGGAGGGTGAGAGAGAGTGAGGAGTTGAGTTGAATTGGTGTTGTCCTCCACCATCCTGAGAAATAGGGAAGTTAGGAAGAAGGGAAGGTTGCGAGGTAAGGATAAAGAGTTCAGATTCAGATTCATTGAGTTTAATATACCTACAGAACATTTAGTTCTGAGATGTCCAATAAGTGGTTAGATATGTAAGACTGGAGATCAGGAGAGAGGTTAGTAATGGATGAATAGATCTGAGAATCAACACAGAAATGATCATTGACACCGTGGGAGCTGATAAGATAGTCAAGTGAAATAGAATACAGGGAGAAGAGAAGAGGGCCAGGACAGAAACCTGTGGGACATCAACAGTTAGTAGGAACGACATGAATTAAGATCCAACTGAGGAACTTGTATTCCTTCATCATGTCCCCATGCCCAGCTTGCTATTCTAGAGACCATGGGGAGTTTCTACTTGAGTGATATCTAAAACTCTCTGTCTTGATTGAGCTGAATTACCTCAATCCCAATTAACTGAGAAGGAGCAGTCAGACATATAGGAAGAGAACCAATGTCGTGAAAACCTAGAGAAAAGGGAGTATCAAAAAGCATGACTGATAGTGTCAAAGGCTTTAGAGAAGTCTGGAAGAATGAAGATTATGAAAAGGCCATTAGATTTGGCAATTAAAGAAATCATCAGTCACTTTGAAGAGGGTGGTTTCAGTTAAATATCGAGATCCCAAGCCAGACTGCAGTGTTAAGAAGAGAGTAGGAGGAAAGTGGAAATGACTATTGTGAACAGCCTTCTCAAGGAGATTAGCCATGAAAAGGAAGAGAGAGGATAATAACTAATGGGGATGGTTGGATCAAGTAAGGGTTTTTTGAGGATGAGGGAGAAATGGGCATGTTTGTGAAGCAACTGATAGGGAAATAGAGAGTAGGAATGATGAGGTAATCTGCTAGATAAAATGGGATGGAATGGGATCACTTGTGCATGTAAGTAAAAGAATTTGTCTTGGCAAGGAGAAGAGCCACCTCTTTATGTTAGAGAGGAGAAAAGGAGGAGATTGTGGCAGAAGGCATCTGGGTAAGATAAGAAAACGGGGAGAAAAGGCAGTTTACTGGCCAATTGCCTCAATTTTTTTCAATAAACTATGAAGCAGTGTTCTCAACCGACAGGGTAAGAGGAGGAAGAACCATGAACATTTTGGGGAGGGATGAAAAAATTTGAAAAAAGAAAAAAGATTTGCTGTGGTGAGTGGGATAGTGAATTGATTAGAGAGGTATAAAAGGATTACCTGAGGGGCCCAGTTGAAATTGTGTAACATAAATTTGTACTGGACTCAATCAGCATGGTTTTGTGGTTTTGCCAGCTTCATGTATCAGTAGGAAGAAGGTCGCAGATGGTGGGAGCAATCTAAGACTGTGGCTTGGCAATGAAAGATCAGTGACAGTACATAAGGGCAAAGAATTCAAGAGAAGAGGATAGTACAGAGTTGAATTGGTTCACCAAGGAATCAAATTTGGGGAAGGAGGAATAGTATAGCCAGTGCAGGGGTGATAGCCAAGGAAAGAACTGTGATGTAGAAGGATTGGAAGTCATGATAGAGATGAACGAAGTTAAGAGTTGAAAGATAAAGGGACAGGTAAAATTAAACAAATTATAATCAGATAAAGGAATATCAGATTTCATGAACATGAAAGTGAAACACTTGTGAGTGATGATGAGCAAGAGTATGACCATCTATAGCTGAGATGAGGTGGGGGAGTAGGTCATGAGAAATGAGTAAGTTGAAGAATTAGGAAATTAGAATGTTTAGTATAGTATCAATATGTTGAAGACTCCTAGTATGAGGGCATGAGTTGGGGGAGATAAAAAGTCCTGTAAGTCAGGTACTGAACCTACTGACAAAGAAAGGAGAGTGTTCTAGAGGTCGGAAGATAACAGCTAGAAGAATATCCTTTGACTGATAGATATTAATTGAATAAACCTCAAAGGAAGAAAGGTTATTGAATGATGGTAGTAGAGGTAGAGATTGGAAGTAGCAATGGGGAGCAAGTACTATGCTGACTCCACCATTGTGACTAGTAATTCAGGGGGTATGAGAGAAAATGCAATCAGTTCTGAAAAAGAAAGCTAGCTGTGTCATCAGGAGGGAGTTAGTTCAAAGAGAATGCAAGAAGATGAAAGGAATGAGAAAGGAAAAGATGAAAGCAAATTTGTGACCTATGGAGAAAGTATTCCACAGAGCACAGTAGGAGGGATGAGGAGATCTTAAGTGGTACATTGGAGATGGGGGATGGGGAGGTGGGTCAGGAACAAGTGAATAGTCAGAGAAGTGTGGGGAAACAGGGTTTGTACAATTACAGCAAGTGTATAGGATAGAGCAATAATGAATAAGCATTCCTTAAGCCCTAACTATGTGTCAAGCACTGTGTAGGTAATAGAGATACATGTACAACGAATGAAACAATCCCTGGGGATGTGGTATAAGACCCGTCCTGTCTGGCCGCAAACCACAGGTCTAGAAACAGACAATAGGGAAAAATGGTAGCAAGGAAGGTTTTCGCTTTATACAAGTTCAGAGTGGGCCCTACATGTGGAGAAGCCCACGTGTTGCAAGGGGCTCAACCCCCTACCTGTAGTAGGGGAGTGTTATTGTGTGAAGGGAAGCAGAACAGACATCTCTAAACTTCTCCTTCCAAGGGAGTCTTTAATTCTTGCCAGGAGGGGAAGCAGGAGGTAGGGGCTAGAGGCCACTCTGCTCCCCTCAGAGAGAGGGGGTAAAGGGCTGGAATTATATCTTATCTGCTCCTTTAGATATTTTTATTCTAGGGGATATGATCAGGTTCAATCTAACTTCTGATCACTGTGGGGGGAAGGAGAACCCCCAAGCTTTATATCCAAGGCTTGACCAAATACCAGTCCCACAATGAGTACATATAGCAAATAGCAAAGAACCACATTTATCCACATCAGAGAAGGTATATATAGGAGAAAATATACCAGATAATACTGAGTGAAGGAGCCCTT